TACGTACTTACTTTACTCAATTTAATTTTACTCAATTACTTGAATTTTAAATGGTAATATTAATGGTGACAAGGTACATATGTATATTCATTAGGCATGGGTCACAATATTTAATTGTAAAAGTTTATATTATGAGTTTGAGCCCCCCCCCCTCCCCCGAATTGCAGTTGTAGTAGATCACTGAGATTATCCTTTTTATGATGACAGTAAATGGTAATCTATTTTATTAGTAGTATTTGCGGTGATATCACTTTCATCATCATTATCAACATCATTATATCATAATTACTGTTATTATTATTATTTTATTATTTTTTTATGATCATTATTTTTTATTATTTCATTATCGTCATTATTTATTATTTTCTATTATTTCACTGTCATCATTATTTATTATTATTTTATCATCCTTATTACAATAATTCTAATTTTGAAAGATTCCATTGTTTAAAGACGAGATAGTAGCATTAATAATTGTTTATCTTTAGAAGATTATATGTAAATTTCACCCTTTGTTACAGAAATAGAAAACTTATGCAATTACATTGAAGAAAATGAACTTACACTTTAAAGAACACATAAAAACACATATACACTCACGCACGAACTTACGCACATCCATTTCTTTCCCACATCACACATTATTTTTCTGAATATTTACAATGATAATAATGATGATAATGATAATAATAATAATAATAATAATAATAATAATAATAATAATAATAATAATAATAATAATAATAATAATAATGATAATAATAATACTGATCTGAATATTTGCAATTATAATAATGATGATAATAATAATGATAATGATGATAATACTGATCATAATGAAACTAATGATGTTAATACTAATGATACAATAGTAGTATCATTACTACTACTACTAATAATAATAATGACAATAACAATACATAAAAATCATAAAAAACTATGACCACTAAACACCCAATTTAAAACACTTATTTAGAAACACGGTCTGGACGGCATGAACTGCCACTGGCGTCCAATCTACACCGTCTGTCAGCCCTGTACAACAAAATACAAGTACATCGTGAAGCTTGAAACCATTGAAGAAGATTTGACGTTCCTCAGAGACGAAATGGCCATCAGCGAAATGAACGTGGCTTTAAAAAGGAACGTAAAGAAGGAATCTCGAACCAGTGATGATTATTTTAAAGATCTTCCGGTTGATCTGCTGGTGGGTATCAGGCGGTTGTATGAGTACGATTTTACTCTCTTTGGCTATGTAATACCTGGTTATTTGGAGAACGTAGGCAAGCGAGGGACGTGATAGTTTTTTTTCGAATACGTATTAAGAAGAAAAAAAATAAGATTACATATCAACAAAATCTACTTTTAAGATGAGATGTTATGTGAGATCTATTTCTATATATTTTTTTAAATTTTATTATTATTTTTTTTTACAATTTATTGCCAGTAATTTTATTATTATTATTATTATTATTATTTGTTTTTTTTTGTATTATAAACTTAAATTGCGTAGTAACCTAGACCTTTCCTCATGCAGATTTCTCCTAATAAACAGGGAAGTAGTGCGAGCGTAGTTACAAATTTAGTGTGAATAAAATCACAACGATTGTAATAAACGTCAGCTCTACAAAGGATGGTGATTTTAGCCCACTATTCTGTGTTTTTGCTTTACTTCTCTTCAAAGATGCATATGCTAATATAAGACAGAAAGAAAGTGTATCATAAGACATTATCTGAGCAAAAAGGACTCTCGACTAGCGTGCAAGTTCGAGACACACGAAACATGCCACATACCTAAAATGAATAATGCTAAACGTTCCGCTACGCTTCTCCAGGGTTTAGTTTACTTATTTACATATTTATTTATCTACCATGTCGTAGTCTATTGTAGCTTTAAGAATTTCAAGATAATAATTTTGGGGAAGCCACGTGTAGATTCCACCTGGTTGATTGTTATTGTTTCAGATACCAGTCACTTCCATGCTTATTTTAATTTTTCGTGTTTACTCCCATAACTGAACTATTCATTTACACCAATTTTAGACTAATGTGGTAGTTTTCATATGGTATGATTTCATACCAGGACACGATAATCGTCATATTTCATTCGTATGTATTCACATTTCGCACCTCATTTGAGTAATAAGTGGAACATGAACAATCACCCGCAGTTGCTTAGAGCACTAGCAATAGTACAATCGTGTCTGGAAACAGAATTCATTGAAACGAAAAAAAGGCATTAATAACATTTGGATTATTTATGGCATCATTCTCATTCATACTTTTTGTTAAGTCTTCCCCATTTCACTTTACTCATTTGACTGTAACATCTAAAAGCTACAATTAAAAACTATATGTTTTTATTGTTCACAATTGCCTTTTTATAACCTCTGAGCTCATTGTAAGGCATTTAGCTGATTTAGTCTCTTTTCTGGAGTCCGGAGTCCGTCTGTTTCACAACCACACGCATTTCTACAATTCCTCCTCTCGATACCCCAGT